AAATGGTAGGTGTTAACCAGTTGAACCAATCCTTCCAATCAAAATGTGAACATCTCAGGCAGAACTAGGGAGTATAGACTTGAAATAAAAAGTTAAAAAAAAAATAGAATAGGTAAAAGCAATATGCACGTTTGACGATGAGGACTGAAAGATTAGTTGCATCCACCAAGCTTTTCTATACCGTCATGAGTGACAAAATGTTGCTAATTCTATCACGACATCCTAATCTTTTAATTTACCAAGCTAACTTCGATGAAAAGATAGTTCGAAATTAAGGTTAATATAAACTAATCTTTTATTTTACTTTTTTTGTATTATTTTATTATAGATTTTATACTTAAGACAAAGTCGTTTGTTTTATCATTTTATTTTTTTAAAATTATAATTATTAGATATTAAATTAATGATTCGAAATTAATGTTATAGCATTTAGTATATACGATAAAGTACTTATTAAAATCTTTAAAAAATAACGTAATAAAGTTTGATTTATAAATATTTTATTAAGAATATGATATTAATAAATTAACTAAACTTTAGAGAATTAAATTAATTAGTTAGTTATATATATTCATTAAAAAGTAAAAAAAAAAGCTGATGAATCTTTTATATAACTTGAACATTTTATTAAGTTTGAATTTTTTTGAATATATGAATTTTAAATTTTTACCAAAAGATAATTATTAAAGGAAAAGATTTTTTTTTTACTCTGCTTTACTTGATTGTTCTGGGCAAATTCACGTGAAAAGAATAAACATGAACACAAACCTAAACTTTTGGTGTTATTGGCTGCAATATATCTAATTATAAATTTCAGTATCTTTTAAAATAAAAGGGAGTTGTTTGCCGAACCTTACATATTATATTTCCTCATTGCAAAAACTATATAGTTTTTATATTAATTAATGACCACACACTTAACCGAGTCAATATCACTATAATTTTATAAATATTAAATCAAAAATATATAGGGAGTCAAATTGTTAATAAAATTAGTCAATAATTAGGCTCTGTTTTGTTAATTTTAAATTATTCTTATTTTAAAATCCTCAAAAATATGCAATTAAATAATCAACGAGTTTGAACGAGTTCCAATAGGTCATAAATGGGTCGGGTTACAACTATCCGTTCATTACCCATTTAATTTGTATTTAAATGCCAACCCATATCCCATTACCAATTTGCTCTGTTGATAAGATTACTTGATTTAATGGGAATTAATTTTGAGATAGGGTTTGGCATTGCAGCCTTTTGCTCCATTCAAAATGGGTCTAATCTTCTTCCTTTTCTTTCCAATTTTTCTTAAATTTTCTTTCTATCCAACCTTTTCATTTCACATAATTAATATTAATAATTACTTACTTATGATTATTAATAAATAATTTTTTGGGCATGATATCATGGTTGCTATATGATGAAACTGGGGGTTTATGATAGTTTGATCCCATAAGTAACCATTTGAAAGCTATTGACCCATCTATTTACAATTCTTAATAGGCAAATATGATTTAATAGACAATTCTTAATAGGCAAAACTTGATACATATAATCAACTCAACAATCTAAAGTTCAGACAAATATAATTTACAAAGTTGTTTTGCATGCGAACATAAAATAATATTTACAAATATTTAACTCAATGATAAGTGTATGCATTTTTTCGATTCTATAGGAAATCTGTTGGAAGCTATCGCTTTCTTCTTCAAGAAAGAAAAGTGCAGCAGATATATTCTTGGCTTATCAGTCTCACAATAATTAAGAGGAAGAACACGAAGAAGAAGAAAAAAGAAGCAACATTCAAGGGTATCCAACTGCCATGCAGGTCTCCCAGAAGAGCCTGTCTTCCATACCATCCATTACCTCTTTGCACAAATTGATATCAAACCTCGGGTCCTCTTCTCCCTCCTCGGCTGATACATATCCCAAGGCTTCATCTAGAGACCACATCTTGCAACTGCTCCAACCATCTGCAGGCTCATCCCAATCACCGAAATCTTGTTCACCATCAAGTTGAAGAACTTCATAACAATCGTCGAGTCTCTCACTTGTGTCACAGCTGCATGACTCTGCATCATCTTCATCAGCATCTATGCCTACATCCATGCTGTGACACTGCTGGATGATGGGTCCACAGTCCAGCTCAGAGTCCCCGCTGTCTTCGACAAGGAGGAAGCAAGTAACATCCACTATTCCGTTCTTGTTGTCCATGTATGCAAAGCTATAGTATATAGAGAAATGTAAATAGAGTGGTCGTCACTGTTCTATTAAGACTTTAAAAAAAATTTCTCTTTAGGTAAAGCTATGCTGTTTCTGTCTAGTGTTTACTCATATTTATATCGTTTCGGTGAACATGTTGTTGTCATCGATGAGCATTGACTACGCCCATACATTTCACCTTTCTTCTTAAAAGGTGTTAGGTTCTCGCTTGAAAATCCATTTTTTTTGGTGGGTTTCATGTCATCCATCCATTGCTCTTTTCTCAAGTCAGGGTCTATAGCTCCTTTTGACACGAGAAAGAGAGAGAAAAGAAAACCAGCAGTCGATTTTTGAAGTCTTTGGTCCATGGAGGCTAGGAAAAGAGGTGGAAAAGAGAAAGAATTTGCTTATTCGTTGCACATCCATGACCCATCAGCACAGGCTTTTGTATTCTAGAATTCAATTCCAGGGACCATTTCAGATGGGACTAAACAGACCCTAATCAACTAAATAAAAAACAACTTTGGAAAATGTTTTACTGGTAAGTCATGAAATGCAATAATTAAAGCAAAGGATATTGGATGACTATGTCCACAAACAAAGATTAAATCAGTAATCAGAATCACATTTATTACGTGTCTACTCCAAACCCCGCGAATCAGAACAAAGGTAATTAATCTAGAAGTAGTACTGTTTCAACTTGTACCAGCAAGGAGCTTTGTGTGATGCTAGGATGACTCATTGTACCGCCTTTATCCCCCATCACATCTCTCCTAATTTAGCGACCTGTTTAAGGCACTACGGTTACCAACCGTCCAAAGGAGGGTAAAGTGTTCAACAGTCCATGCAATATGTTCTGGTTGAATCTATAAACAGTGGTTTTACAGTGATATTTTAACTATTCTCAAGCAACACAGAGCTCGGGCCACTGACCACCGTTGTCAAACACTCGTAAAATTGAATTTAGGCAATCATTTCTCAAAGACCCTAGGAACTCCTAGTTGATACGCTTGCTCTTGCTGAGGGCAAAGGTTAGAATTCCATGGAACAGTACTCTTGACTTGTGTGCTCATATTATGTACTTTAAAACGATTACACTTTGTTTACTACTTCTTTGGTTGGACATATTAGCTGTTGGGTTCTACCGACGCACGGCTTCAACTTCAAGTTGAGAGAGTTGAATAATGTTTTTTTGGTGTGATGAGCACTAAAAGTCTTTTCAGTGGAGACAGCAGCAATCAGCTTAAGATCGGGTGCTTCCCACTCTTTTCATTTTCTTTCAAGACAATATTTGGGCGACTTGTTGTCTGCATGTCTGAGGTCAAAATATTAGAAAAAAAGAAAGGACTGAACTTTGAGCCTGTTTGGAACTGTGTTAACTTCAGAAACTATGTATGTTCAGATCATCACTCACTTTATTCAAAAAGATGAATTAGTAAAAATTACATACAAATGATGAAATTGGAAAACGGGTTGAAATATACCAATGGAACTTAAAAGAGTAGAGAGGTAAAAGTTCACTGTCAAGTGGTTTTGATTTATGAATATTAAGTCTAGGTATAGTTATTGGGGTTTGGGGAGGATGAGATTCACGATCAAATCCTGCAATTTAGTTGTTTCTTGATTACAACACCCTCAATGAAAAGAGGGTTTAAAAGTGTTGCTAAGCAACTTTGCTCCTCACAGCATTACTTGTTAAGTAGGGGGATTTTTCGTCATCATTTGCCCAACATATGTTATACTGACATCATCCCGTCCTGCCTTTTCTTTGTTCAGTTAAGAAAGGGCAAAAGAAAGAGCAAAAAGGTGCTAGAAAGACTCTGGCTCTCTACCTGCATCTCCTCCTAATAAGAGTTAGCTGCGGCTGTTAGGCACTGATGTGCAACCAGCAACCACCAAATGATCCTCCCCATTTGACTCCTCCTAAGGTGTGATGCTATCTTTGATTGTTAATTCAACCATCCTTGGCACTTTTTGAGAAATTACACTGATGTTAAAAAATAACAATATTCTGTTTACTCATTGAGAATCACATAACCTTTTGGGGACAAATCCAAATTTTCTCTTGACATTATCATGTCAGAATCCGTGGTCTATGAGTAGTGCTACTAGCCAGCAAGATCCACATGCTAGAAGAAATCATCCCTGTCAATGTTTGGGGATCATATAAACAAATATCAGAAGATCAAAACTAATCTCCGATTCTCTGTTATGGAGTAGTTTTGCTACATCGGGTAATGATACTTGTACAGCCACGCAATGTCTATAAGCAAAGAGCAAGAATGAATTTAGGATGACAATTGCTTAGATTCCTTTGGAAGAGTATAACTAATACAATAAGATATTATTTTGGGAATAGCCAATCAATTTGCCTACTTGGACATACAACCAATGAATACACAAATCTGCTAGAACTGTCTCAAGGTAAACTGGTGACCACTCACTTGCTCAAATAAGATTTTGTCATATTCTTAACTACCAAAATGGTTTAATGTCTTTATTTGTATTGATGCTCTTTACTACAAACAAATCGTATAAGAAATTCCAGCTTGTTGACAAGTTGTTTAATTCTTTTCCCTTTTTGTTCCCATCAAGACTCCGTTACAAGAATGAATCACATATTTGAGAATTTTTGTAGTTAATCCTTTAGGCAAATGTCCCCAAAGCAGATTGTAATCAAATCAGCCATATTCCATTCATCTCTTACACATTATCAGTCTAAAACATTTGATTATATTAATGAACAAATAGATTTGTAAATTTAAAAAATCATAGCCCAATATTAGCTAAATGGCACACCAATCAAGCTGCATCATTAAATTCATTCCAAAATTGGCCAAAATTGATCTACAAAACAGGCATCAAAAGGGTTTCTACTCAACTTATTTCAGAACTGACATCAAAACTCAGATGAACATGTTCATTCTTGATGCCAATAAGTGTATTGTGCTGTATAACCAACTTTATGCTCGAAACATCTAGTATTCAGAACAAATAAAACAGCATGAAGAGCCTATTTCTAGAGGTAGCCCTATCAAGAATTTTTCCTTTCTTGTGCATCATCATTTCTCCAAGGATTAAGAGCTTCCCTAATTGCTTGAGCCTCAGGGGAACTCTCCCAAGCGCGCTTCTCTGACTCCAGAACAGTCACCTTGTCATCTACAACATAACAAAGCTAAAGGTTCAATCAAGAGTTCAAGCCATATAGCACATATAACCATTTAATAGCCAAACTCAGGCTATGATCTTTCACCAAAATAGTTAGACACCTTATCAATCTTCTTTTAGCTTAAACACTAAGGCAACTGAGATTTAGGGGTAACAAATAACAGTTCAATCCGAATCTCTTTCTACCAATTGTTAAGGTTCCACAGCGACTAACTTTCACTGACGCTTATTGTCACTAACCATACAGTGATGAGCTGATAGCAGACAGATATTATTTTAAATTATTAAGACTATGAAATTAACCATACTCATAGCATAAATATAAGAAAGGCTAAACACCCAAATAAACCCTTGAACTTCTATTTCAAGTCAAATAAGCCCTTCTCCCTAACCATGGACTAACTTCTATTAGTCAACGATACATGTGGTACTTTTATACCATGTCATCTACCATGTGGTAGATGATATGGCATTAAATATTATTAATTAAGATTTATGTGCTTACTTTTTTACTCATTTACTCAATCCTAATCAACAATATTTAATGTCACATTTTAATCAACGATTAGGGAGAGAGGCTTATTTGATTTGAAAAAACGTTCAGGGGCTTATTTGAACACAATAAAAGGATAGGGGCTAAATTGATTTTTTTGACATAGTTCAGAGACTTATTTGGGTATTTAACCTATAAGAAATTGGGACTTGGAAATAAGATTTTAGATCCACATTTCAGACCATCTTTGGTATCCATTCATATGACTCATAGACTTCAAAATTAACCATACTTACCATAATAAAATTTTGAAAATTTCAAAACAAAATCATCCTCGGGTTCAAAAGTTTGAATTGACAATCAAAATAACTTCAACATAAAGCCAGAAATTAACAACAATAATATGGAAATAATTCTATCGCTTCTACCCTACAATTAGGAATCATAAAGACATCAAACCACAGCAACCAGAGCAGACGGAAAAACAATAACTACCCTTTTTTCCTTATGAAAAAAGAACTATAACATGCTGAAATGGAATCAACTTAGATAGATGAAAGGGGAAAAAATGGAGGGTTCTCACACAGAAGCCAGTCTTTATCATGAACATCTCCATGGAACCTCCAATTAGAGCTGAACCAACCGCAATCTTCAAATACCAATCAAGAAAATTTATTCTCATTCTTTCTATTTACTGCACAAAATAATAATAGCTCATTCAGAACTTCAGTAAATATATATTTATATATATTGCTCCAGCTAAAGTGTAGTACAGAGATGTCAATTACAAAGGCTAATATTTGATACTTTAACTAAAACTGCAAAACAGAAATGAAGCAAAATTCTCATACTTAGGAATTTGTTTTCTAGAAAAAGTGATTCCAATTTGACTCAAAAGAAAAAAAAATTTCTTCTATTGTGATCCAAAATTTTCAGGGACGACAAGTAAGGGAACTTGAGCCGCTTGAGGAAGAGGGATGAAAGAGAAGTGTGCTCAGAAACCAATTGATGCTGCGGTCCAGCCGGCTGACAGCACCGTCGTCTCACTATCAGCCGCCACCACCGACGCTGCCGAGGGAATCCTAGTCGGCGATGCAAAATATTGTCGTCCACATTGAAGGCAGACATAAAGTTGAAAGATGTACAGGAAATGTCATTGTTAAGTAATCATCTTCTTCCCAGAAAATTTCATCTTTCTTCTAATTGTGAATTGTTACAGGCAAACCCAAGCTTTGTTATTTCCAAAACTGTTGAAGAAAATATCTAACAAAATGACTACCCTTCTTATATCACACCTCCAATAACAAAAATATCTTACAAAAACATTTTAAAAAAGAAGTATAAAAAAAAAGCCCTAATTTCCTCAAGAAAAGAAGTCCTAACTTTCAGAAAAAGAAAAAGGAATGCATGTGAGATGCATAAATAATTACCTGAGGAGGACAAGAAGCGGCGGATTCGACCGTGAAATTTGACCTAAATGTGCAGGTGAGCGGCTACGGTACCCACCGGCGGCGAGCGGCGGAAGAAGAAGAGAACGAGAAAATAGAAGAGAGGGTCAGGCAATGGCTAGGACAATTTGGTAAAAAACCAAAAATTATAACTTTCCCGTTCCAAAAGAAAGTTACTTCCCTTGCGTGACGGAAGGGAATGACAATCCCAGCGTAATCACTTTACAATGGGAATCCGCAACACTGGATATAGGTAAACAGAAAGTGAAATGGCAACATGTTCGGTTTATTATTATTATTATTATTATTTAATTTATACATCATTAAAAAATAAAATGATTTTATTTGATAGAAAAATAAAATCTATTCTCGTGAATGCTTCTAACTACTATATGTTCTTGTGAATTACCAGTATCTCTACACTTTTTTAATTAATTAGGTACATATTTTCACTTATATTAAATTATTAATTATTTTCTATTTTCCATCTATTAAAACATAATATAAAGAGAGGAAGACAAATTCTACTCTCCTTTCGTTTTTTTTTCCTCCAATTTTCTCCCAAACAAAGTAAATTTATAGGGAGAAAAATAGGAGGAATGGGGTTTCACCAGTTTAATTATAAAAAGAGGTTTGTTTGGACGTGGAAATTTCCCTAACAATTTTTGGGTAAGGAATGTATGATCGTAACCCTAGACCTACTCATAACTCTTAAAATTTATTCCACGCTCCCACTTGCTCTATTTACATAAATATCATCCCCACTCTCACATGAAATTATCAAGAAAAATTAAAAAATTATTTTTAAAATATTTGATTTTTTTTATATAAAAATATTTTAAATTTTGAATGAAATGTATAAGAAAGAAAAAAATTATCATAATATTTAAGAAATTAAAAAAATAAATATTCAAAGATAGAGAGAATAATTTTTAAATGTAAATATTTTATTTTAATCTAACCAAGGATAATGACGAGATTAAACTATCGTTGTAGTAGTATAATTTTATTCCATTTAAAAATTTTAAGGAGGTAAAAAAGATTTTTTTTTTTTTTTAATCTTTGGAGTGGAATGTTAAAATAATAAACTTTTTAAAAGATGAATCATTGTGTACGTGGCAAGCAGTCAAAGCGAGTAGCGAATGCACTATAATCGCAAGTCGGTAGAAAAAGCGCACAAAGGCGACATGACAAAGCGGCGAAGAAACGGAAGGAGGAGTGGTCCTTCTTCCAGACCAGAGTTTCTCGTCATCTTCCCAAGTCAGTCCGACCAGACCACACAGCCCCCCCATTTCTCTCTAACTCGTCAAAATTATTTGAAATTTTAGTCAATAACATAATTTAAAATAATAATATTTTATTAGATTTATTCTTCCGTATATTACTAGCTTCGCACCGTCTTTTGATTCATCGTCTTCTCAATCTTTGTTGGCTTGCTTTCATATTATTCTTTTTTATTATATTTCATTGTCAGTGATTTATATATTTATCTTATATTTTGATTTCCTGGGTTTCTTGGGAGATTAACCAAGAAAACAATGCAAGCAACTGGAGCTGAAGCTGTCAGCAATGGAGTTTCTGAGGGTTCTTCTCAGGTTCTTCTTGATCACTTTCTTTCTTTCTTTCTTTTTACCTTTCAACGTTTATATACTTAGAAAAGGGTTTGAAGGGTTTTCAGTTTTTGGTTCAATATTGTGTGGTGTGAATTTAAGTGATGCTTTCTTATTGTGTTGAAAGTAGATTTTGCTTGTGTAGTTTGGTAATTAAAAATTTGTTACTTTAGTGGTGTTGTTATATAATCTGAGTTTGCTGATAATTTCAATGTTTTAAGGTGTCTTTTACTGGCTTATATGTATGTTTGTTGTTCATAAAAGCCCTTTCTGATTAACTCTATGCTCTTTTTTTTTTTTTTAATTTCTTAATGGTAAAGGCCTAAAGGGAATACTAACTAGAAATAGTTTTTTTTTCTCCTTAAAAAAATGTTTTGATAGTTAAGTTTACTTCTGACATATAATTAGGCATTTGATCTCACCATATTGTTGAGTATGTTGTGACTTTTTTAATTGTTTGTCTCCTTAATCGTTGCATATATGTTATGACATAATTCTTTTATATCCTAATTATTATGTTAGATTGGAAATGACTAGCAAAATCATTTTTTTTTCTTTTGGATAACTCTTTTTGCATGGTTGGACCGAGCATATTAGCAATGGCAATGGGGACTGTTATCTTTTTCTTTCTTTCTTTCTTTCTGTTTTTAGAAAGGCAACATTATGAAATATGATATATACGCATATTGTTAGGACTTAGGAGCATTACATTTGCCATATTTTTCTTTTCGTCATAGCTCTGCCTAGAAGTAATCAAAGCAATAAAGCATCCCTCGTTTCTCCTTATTAAGGGAAAGAATAGGATCGGGAACAAGAAAATTGTGTAAATTCTTAAGCAAGGACACTTTTTGTGATAACGCCATAACCATCTCCCTTTTTGTTTACCTTGTTCTTTTTAAGATCCAAACCAAGGCCTCTTCAAGGTAAGACCTGAAATTTAGGAGCTGTTAATTTTTAAGCATGACCAATGATTGTGTCCTAAAACACTTACATGAAATACTGATTCGGATCTAGCCTCTAGATGTTTTGCATCTAGGGTATCTGATAATCAGATTTTATCACTAATCCAGGAAAAAGAAAATGGAATCAAATTCTGGGTTTGTAATTGGCATGCCCTCTGATCAGAGATGTCACATGATTTGTTGTACTGTTGAATTTCTTTGCAAAGGCTTATTAAAGAAATGACTGGAAATGTAATTAAACCTTCATTAATTGCAGGCAAAATTTCCAATTCTGGAACCCTCAGATAGCGAAGTTTCTAAACCTGGAACAAGTGGTAGGCGCTTAGATCTATCTCTTCAAATACCCCCTAGACCACTAGGATTTGGCAGCCGTAGTGGAAAAGGTTTACTTCAGTCCCTGGGTTCCGGTAAAGGTACTTCATCATCAGGAGGCTTCTTGCGTGGCTTAAGTTTCAAGAAAAAAGGTGCTGTAGCTGATGGTGAGGGAAGCTCTCTCCTCACTCCAGACAGCAGGACAGGCCCCGAAAGTTCTAATATGGCTAGTTTTCCATCCCCATTCAATTGGAAAAGATGTACATCTCTGCCTGTTACACCTGCATCAAATTTGTCCCCATCAGTTCCCATGCCTGCTTCAGCAAGGATGGCTGGTGAACAGAATAAATCAAATGTATGTATCATATGGTTCTGACTATTTTATTAACTTTGAATTATTGTTTTGTCCTCTGCAGCTGTTGAAAACTTTGTCCAAACAATCATTGGAGCAAAAATTGGGTACTAACATATCTATATGCCAACAAGTACAAAAGCCAAATTTTTTTTTAGCAAAACATTTTCACTTTTTAAGGCAAAATTTTTAGCTAAAATTTATATGGGACAAATCTCCAAGTCAGTTGTGTAAGAATACTTTGAAAGCATTTTGAGATGGTTACAGTAAATTTCATGCAGAAAGGAGCAAAGCATGCTGTGGTTTCAAGGTCCCTGTCGGTGCCTGGGCGAAATGTTGTTATAGTGAGATCTGCATCTTTTGATACCTGTAAAGAGCATGTCTCTGCTGATAATAGCGACGGTATGTAGTTGTACATGCACTGAATGACTAATTTTTTTATTTTTTATTCCTATTATTCAAGTTCCTCTTTAGTGTCATTGCTTCAACTCATAGGTCCTCATACTTGTCTGACATGAGTCATCCTTTAGCAAATGGAGTCAAATAGTTTGGCAGTTTAATATCTGAGCTAAGTTTTTCCTTTTCCATGATTAAAGTTGAAAGAATCAAATGAGTTGTATATCATTTTCCAGAAGCAACCAAAAGTTCTTCTACAAGATTAACAGCAGCATTAGCCTGGTTTATGCATTATAATTAAATTATATTTAAATTTGAGCTGCTTACTCTAGTACATTCAGCCATGAAAATTTGTCTAGACTTGCAACTCTGTGTTTTCAACTTTTGACTTGATTTATTTTTGGTTTATTGGTCTTGGTTTTGAGGTCGATTTCCTGTTCCTGTGAGGATGCAGATCAAATCAATCCTGTTCCTGCAGAAAGCAATGATGAGGAGATTCCCGAAGAGGAAGCTGTGTGCAGAATATGTTTGGATGAATGTGAAGAGGGAAACACACTCAAAATGGAATGCAGCTGCAAGGGCGCCTTACAACTTGTGCATGAAGCTTGTGCTGTTAAATGGTTTAGTACAAAAGGAAACAAAAACTGCGACGTATGTGGGCAAGAAGTGCGGAACTTACCTGTAACTTTGCTGCGGGTGCCTACTGGTCGTAGGGGTAATAGACAGAATGTTAATTCACAGAGCTTAGCATCAGAGTCCGTGAGGTAGTATTAACTATAAATTTTGTTATCTTGCATCTAATTATTGTTGGTCTTAAACTGTTGACACTTTTATAATGATCTCAAATCTAATAGCATTATATTCAAATGCTCGCTTGAATTAGATTTTTTTTTTTTCATTTTAGAACTCTGCTTTGTGGTACTGATACTAAGTTCGCAGCTGAGCAAGTCAATAATAACATTAATAACTACTCCACAACATGAGTTTCTTTAGAATTAGCCTTTTTATCTTTTTCTAATTTAAATCCTTACCTCAAATATGCAGTGTCTGGCAGGACTTTGTGGTGCTCGTGTTAATTAGCACAATTTGCTATTTCTTCTTCCTGGAGCAGCTACTGGTATTCCATTTTGACTTATGAAGAACTTAAGCTGGAGAATGATCTTTTTATTTTGTTGATATGGATGTTATCCAAGCCTATTAAGTCCACTTAATGGCTCAACCTAATTCGTAAACATTGAACTTAAGCAATTCAAAATTTTATTAGCAATATTTGTATTACTGATTTAGGGAAAGACTTGGTTTCAGATTAGCCTTTCAAGCTTCTACACATGCAAATTTAAATTGCTCCAACATACATAATTGTACTTCCAACTTACAATATCACTGTTTTATGCGTGCTGAATTATATATAGCTCTCTCTCTCTCTCTCTCACCTATAGTTTTATACAACACATGGCATTCTATATCAGATCATCATCCTCGCTAGCTTGACAATTTTGATTTTATGCCTATCATTTTATAGATTCAACAAATGAAGACCCAAGCAGTTATGATCGCAGCACCATTTGCCCTTACCCTGGGCCTCTTAGCATCTATCTTTGCAGTCTTATTAGGTCTGGCTGAGCCTCAGAAATCACGTTTCTGTTTCTGAATGAGTTGTGACTTGTGATTGTCTTAATGTTGTCTTGTTTGGCTTGCAGCAATCAAGGAGTACATATGGACGTTTGCAGCTCTTGAATTCGCACTTGTGGCATTGAATGTCCATATATTCTATTCTGTGGTGAGCAATAATTAAAAGCATTTTATATTATTCTGCTCAATCTACTAAATTTCATGATGACATATGACTTGTTCTATCCTTTACTGTTTAGTGTTGATGTCCCTCACCTTGCTCTCTCTCTCTCTCTCTCTCGCAAACTAGCATCGTTTTTAAAGCAATTCTCATAAATGTATCAATAGATATGTTTTGAAAGCTTTTTACTGAAGGATGTCTGAGAATACATCCAGGAACTGAAACTTGAAGTGTTATTGTTGGAGATAATTCAAATTATTTGCTTGAAATGGTTTTTTTCCTGCTAATTGTGATCAAGGCATTTCCATGTCTTTGCAGCTTCATCTGAAGGCTGTTTTCTCTATACTGCTTTCGGGAGTGTTAAGTTTCGGGATAGCCTTGACACTCAATTCATTGTATATCCACTGTTTTGGATGGCGAGTTCAGGTAGGCCAAAATTCTAACCCAGTGTGACGGATCTGGAGAACGAAAGGTCCATACATTTGATGCTACTTATTTACTGAGGCCTTAGATGTACATACATTTGTTGCTGAAGTATTCTAGTAAAAAGAATCAAGTTTTTATCTATTTCCATGGTATGATGCCATGGAAGAAAGGGGTAGTCTGGTGCTAAATATTGGAGAATCCTTTTTCCACTTATTCTGTAGTATTAGGTTGAAATTGTTTGTAGCAGCAGTAAGGAGAGTTTTATTGTAATTTTACTGAAGCAAAAATGGCCTATGAATAATAGAGTTGGTTTTCTTTACTTTCTTCCCACGATCAAGCGTTGTGACTCGTATCACTCCCATCATTCATTTCTTGTCCAGTTATCAATTTGCCTGTGATGATCACAAACTAGCACAGCGTCTACGTGGCAAGTCAATGAACTATGGTCTGAAACAAAAGAACTAAACAGAAATCAACAAAAATAGTAATTCTTCTTTATTTAGACAACATTACTAAATTCCATTTTGCACCCTGATGATTGCATGGTCAAGTACATAGATCAGAAAAGAATTCCCATTCAGAAAAAGTTAACAGCAAATTTATACATGATGGTAAATTTATGAATAAATTAAAGAAAGAAACAAATCAAACCCGCATCTAAGCATTTACCATACAGCTAAACTAATTCTACAAGGAAATAAATCTAAGAAATCCACTCTATGTACAGATCATTACATTCTAAATTCTCTAACTAAGAAGACAGCGCGTTGAAGAAATGGAAAAACAAGAAGAAAATTGAGAGGAAGCTGAAAATCAAAAAGAAAGCTCAAAACTTTATTTATGCTTTGTCACTGGGAGGAATTTATCATCCTTCCTCAGCCATATGGTAGAGCGTGTTCTTTTAACATGATCTCCAAAGAGCCGATGCCTGCCAGCAGGTAAAGGTGTGTTAGGAATGCAACAAATGTAAACGTTCCTCATCTCAGCCAATATAGAACCCATCAAAGAACAAATTGTTAGATAAATGAGAACACGGACAAGAAAATAACAAAATGATCATACTCAAGAAGCCTTGACAGCCAGTTGAGTTTGCTACATAAATTTTTTTTCTGTTGTTCATGGTTGACAGTCATGCTTCCTTGTCTTGTAATAAAAGCACAAAAACTGAAGAGTCATGTTTCATAAAGATAGTACCAACCTCTCATAATCCAATTTCTGAGTAACTATTCCATTCAGTAGCAGCTCTGAACTGTAAACTGCTGCCCCTGAAAGCATAAACACAGAGAAAGATTCTAATAAAAGTCCAAATTTCATAAGTCATGCAAGGAGATAACTAAGACAACATTTATAACCTTTTTCAAGAAAAGGGACACAGGTCGCATAATCTTCTTCACATGATAGAACCAACAAATCATCTGGGACTTTGTCATCCTTCGTAGCAGATCTGCCAATTCTCTCGACAGCCTGGAAAGCATCTTGGAAGAAATCAGCATAGAAAAGGAATCAATATTTTAATAGGATTTAAAAGCATCTAAAAGTATTAAGTAAAAGAACTGGGGATTGACAGGTGGACCAATTGAGAGAGAGAGATGCAAAACCATGCACAGAGAAAAAGGGTAGATACAGCACCCAACTCACAATATTTATATAAAATTTCGTGACAAAACCATCCATGTAGAATTATTCAGTCTGATCAATAGACTATGAACATTAATTAATCAAATCTTTAATGCATGCTACTCTGAAAGAATTGAGTAGGGAACTGCCCACATACCTGACCACCAACTGCTGTAACCAAATGTGAGATTGTTTCTTTGCCTGGCTTTGTATTTGGGGTGATAAAAACTCTTCGACCCTGCATAAATGTCACTATAGTAAAGATCTAAATGGAACAAGTGTCCAATGCAACAAGAAAAACCTAGACAAACTTTACCTGTAATAAGGGTCTCTTGCGTGCATGTGCTAAAGAAACTGGCATGCAAAAGCCAAGCTCTTTCTCTTTTCTTATGTCCCTCAATATGTAAGCTTCTTCATCAATGTGAATATTAACCTGTCCAATGCTTTCAAGCCATAAATATGTAACAACTGGTTTGCCAGAAGCAATTGCCTCCAACATATTCCTAGTGCGCACAAATTTATCAGTTATGAAGTGTGTTGCATCTAATATAGATGACGCCTCAGAGATACCTAGGCGGGCCAAGATCTGGTGACAAAATTGAGGCATAAGATTTAGTTAGACCAGCTTGTGTGTCATTAAAGAGCTATTGATATCAGAAACAACTAGCACCTTTTTCTGCTGTTTAATTACATCCTCATCTAGGTGGTTGCTGAACAAGACTCTAACATTGGCCAAATCCCTTCTCTTCCTCATATCTTTTAAAGGCGAAATAGGTTCTGGTTCAATGTGGCTTAAACTTCTGAGTTCTTTGCTAAGTGAAGATTTTGAAAGGTTCTTCTTGCACGATTGTTTATAATATTCTTCACCCATACAAACGGGTGAGGCAGCATTGATTGGTGTCGGACAATTAACTGGTGTAGTGCATTTAGAACCAGGTGATTTAGATTTCTCTTTTGGTGATTTATCTAAAGTGACATTCACAGCTACACTTTCTGCAATTGGCGAAGAAATTGCATCTCGGTTTCCATCAGAGTGCTTGGCTGACTTTGCTGGCTCTGGTCCAGTTACTCCTGTAGATACCATCCTCCCATTCATCTCAGTAGAATTGTAATTGATCACATCATCCTCTGAACCTTCTTTATCTGAACTTTGATGAGACAATTTTCCTTCTGCATTCTGGTCTGCAAAACACAGAACTGGACAAGTATTCACAGACGATCGTGTTATCCTCCTAGTGGTTGAATGAATGTGAGTTCTCCTATTGTTGCTTCTGGACCTTTTGAGCACAGCAATGGATTGTCCCCTATCTTCTTGCAGAACAGATCTTTTAGGCTGTGCTTTTAAGTTATCAGATTCACCAACATCAACACACATTTTCCGAGAGGATCTTCTTTGTTGAGGATGGCTCAATGCATGATTGCTACTCCTGGCAATCAACTCCAAATGCAATTGGTCATTATTACTTGATTTGGCATTTTCACATTCTCCAGATTGATTGGAACTCAACTCAGAAAGTTGCCCTTTAGCATTTGACACTGCAGATAAATTAATATCTGTACTCCCAGTTCTATTTTCTTGAAGGAAATCAACCTCTTTTTGATGTTTTCTACCTTTTCCCCAATCACTTGCTGGAGTCTCAGCCATTTGTACATTAATGACCAAGGACTGCCTTGTTCGATAAGCAATGGGTGTAAAAGTATGAACCTTCTCAGGATGGCGTTCCTTAATTGAGCTGCCCCTAGTTGATCTTCTGGTGCCATTATATTGACTCCTTTCCAAAGCTCCACCTGCCTTTCTTTGCTTGATACTCTTAGAGGGCGTTTTGAACATATCAATGCCACCAGCAATTTGGTGCTCGTCAGTATTTGGCTTAGCTTTCTTCATTTCTGGCAGAAGCAGCTCTGTATCACACTCCTTCCTAACATTTTTGGAATGTTTCTCCTGCAAAAGTAAACACTCTTTCCGTGATTTAGCTTTCTTGGATCGTCTTGTAACTGGACCAGCACCAGAACAACGAACACCCTTTCCCATTGTGGGTTCTCTAGAAGAAACTCTCTTCCTAGATTTTCCTCTAAGTGAACCTTTAGAGGAACCCTTAGATATGCTTTCAGCACCTAGATTAGCATTCTGGTCAGTAGCCCCATCCCCATAGAATAAGGCTTCCATAGCTTCAGCAGCCATCTGAGTATCGAAACCTACATTTACTAGTTCAGGAGCACCTGTCTTTGAAGCAGTGGTTTCTAATTGTCCTCTAGAGAAATCTGAGTTGAATTGTTCACCAGACTCATTGAAAAGATTCTTTCTAAACTTCATTGAACCTTCACATACTTTCTTGTCATTCTCATTTGACTTGCACAACAACAATTTTGAATCAGAATAAACTATCTTTTTATCATGGGAGTTCGGTCGGTCTTCATTACAAGATTCATCTAGTTTCCTTCCTTTAGGCTTCTGGGGATGGGTAGAAGACTTCTGAGCACGACTTTCATTACCATAAAATTCTTCCTTCTTTCTACAATAAATATCACCCCCTCCTTCATCCTCCATAAAATCATCCCAGTCAAAAATCCTTGTTTCACCAGCTGTTCTTCTTTCAATAGTTTTCTTAGCTAAACTTTGCAGCCCTTTGGCACTTGAAATAAGTTTTGATTTTCCACTAGTACTTTTTCCAAGATCAACTTCATCATCAAGCTCCATCACATTATCATTTACGAACCTTTCCACAAAATTAAGTGCATTAGCTTGAGATAACTCCCCAGGTTCTTGAGAATCAATATAACTTAAACCTGCCAATGAACCATCACATTGAAGCAAGTCTTCCTTGGCATCAGCATTTTCACCGCTACAAAAAGGTCCTTCCTTTTCAGCAAAAAGTTTTCTTGCAGTTGAACAACCAACACTGCAATTGACTCCATTTCTCAAACCGATTGAGTTCTCATCATGATTCCCCTGATCATGTGCCTGATTAATCTTCTCAACTTTAGGATTCAAACCATCACTATTGCCTGTGCACTGGTCTGAAAACTGACTATCAGTCCGGATAGAACAAGACTCGCTGTTCATTCCCCGTAATGCTGCATTGCGGGCTGCAAGACCAGAGGCCCGCAAGGATGCTGCACGAACTGAAGTAAATCTTCGCACAGATCCTATGGAAAATAATGAATGTTAGTAGAAAATAGAATGACCAGGTATCCAATAAATTGCCCAAATATCATTCCCCACCGTCTTGAAAGTTGGAAGATGAGATGATGATGCTGCCAAATGCCAATTACTTAGAGAAATTAAACCACTTTGAGACAATTTCTTTCAAAAGAGCATGTTACGCATCATCACAGCTGATCTAGATTAAAACAGGAATCATTTGGAATTGATGAAATGTAGAATTTAGATCAATAATTTTCCTTAGTCCAAAAGGTCTTTTTTTGATTCCTAAAGGTAGCTTAATCTTGCACACAAATTTTAAGACAACAGATGCAAGTATGAACACAGGTAAAGAAAAGTGCTATAAACGTATATCAGACTGTTTCATCATATTGTTAAGTGATAAGTATCAGCCACACAGAAAACGAGTAGTTGATATAGAACCGTGTATTCTTGAGAAATTCCCAGAAAACTTTGACAATAATCATGCATTTGTAACCATGAAGAAGCCAAAGAAAACATACCAGGTTTTGATTCTGGCACAGCTTCGACATCTGGTGTAGAAACATGGATCCCTGAAATACACAGTATCTCTTTAACTTCAATTCAGACACAAGTGACAACTTCCTGGTATGCAAAACATACAAGTCTTTCTAGCCAATACTTCAATGTATTCCTAAAAGGTTCAATAAAAAAAGTATACCTGAACTCCTCTGTTCATCAATAGAAGCATTACATTGCTCCAAAGATTCCTTCTTCTCCTCCTGGCCCAAAAATCGACCACAATCTCCTCTTGATAAATCATCATTTGAGTCCTCATCACCATCATCCAAAACCTCAGTTACGTCTGTTCCTTCACCATCATTATCAAGAGCTACTTCGTCATCAAACTCATCCAACAATTGCGTCTCCATATTCTCAAAGCAATCTACATCATCCAGCACTTGTGTTTCACCGCCAAAGTTCAAAACTTGAGTTTCCCCGCAAAAGTTCACAACTTGGGTCTCGAATGCATCCTCGACTGGAACATTATCATCATCGAAAGGAGCTGTACTCCGTAAATATTGTAATCCATCATTATCCTCATTATCAACCTTGTCACCTAAAAATTTTTAAATTTTCTTAACACATGTTCACATAAAATTCAAATAATATAAAGCAAAAATAAGTAATAATTAAAATATTTACGCAAAAAATATTAAAAAAAATTATTATGACAATGCCTCATAACCCTCTAAGGATTTGAAGGAAAAATACCGGAAACTGCAGGAAGCGAAAACTGAGAGTCGAAGTCACAGGGCTGCGTCCCGGCAAGAGGCGAATCGGACTTCGGGTTCATCTGAGAAGGTTTAATTTTGCCATTGTCGTCTCCAAGAGAGCCCATTTTTTCACTTCAATTCATCTGCGAAATAAACTTTATATAAAAAAAAGAAAGAGATAGCCAAATCGACATTAAATAACTAAAAAAGCAGAGACGTTTTACGTCATAAAAAGAGGGACAATACGAGCGATAGAGGGAAGGAGGCACACACATGCACACCAGAGAGACAGGGGAGGGATTAGGGTTTCAAAAAAGGAGGAAATAAGAGGGAGTGAGATGGCGGGGACATTTTTTGGAGGGAAAATTGAAGCAAGATTTGGGGGAATTTAATTGAGACAATTTTTTGTTGGGTTCGTGGGTCGTGGTATTGTGAAGTGAGAGACAAAGAATATTCTTGTTTGTCTTGTTACTATCTTCTACTTTCCCAGTGAAAAAAGGGGAAGGTTTTTTATAATTATTTTTTGTTGAAATAGTGAGAAAAAAGAGAGAAAATCTATCAGGGCATTTGGTCTAGTGGTATGATTCTCGCTTAGGGTGCGAGAGGTCCCGAGTTCAATTCTCGGAATGCCCCCTTGCTTTTTCTTTTCAGTAAAAGCCCGTCAGTCAACGAGGAAAAAAGCTAGACTTCTCGTTGACTTTAATATCTTTTTGGGGGCGTTCCGAGAATCGAACTCGGGACCTCTCGCACCCAAAGCGAGAATCATACCACTAGACCAAACGCCCACGATGCTTTTTTTGTGAGTCTTTATGGAACTGAAACAAATATGTCCTTAACCATAATATTTCGAGGGCATTCAAGGATTCAATTTTTTATGTATAATTTGATTTTCCATACGCTACCACTTATAATTAATTGATTTTGAATATAAAAATATTTTTTTTGTTGGCCTGTAACCTAATTTAGGTAAATCCATGAACTCAATTTGTTTTTTTTTTATTTTTATTAATTGTCTGAATCTGAACCATGAATTGTCTTATTAAAAATTTTTAAAAACTAATAAATATATTGCACATCTCATCATGTCAATCTTTTGAAGAGAAAATAATATTTGATAATAAAATAATATTATAATATATTCAATTTAAAATCAATTTACATCAAACACTTTAGAAAAAAACAAACAAATGATCAACAATAATGAAAGAGAATGTGATGTCAAGTCTTTCAAAAAAACAAATAAAATGTTTGAATCGTATATTAAACAAGTGTAATAAATTTTAAAAAATTTAAATATTGACGTTTCACATTTCATTAAGTTAATTTTTAGAGGAAAAAATCATTTGCTATAAACACTCAATGCAAATAATAATAATAATAATAGTAATATATTCAATTTGATGTACCTTGATTTAGTTAAGTTGGTTACTACTTTAATTAAGCATAATACTATTACTTTTAGGAGTCAGACCATATACCAAAAAGAAGCTTTTACATTGAAGGGTGAGAGTTGGAAGAAGATACTGACGTTACATTGTTACTAGATTCACATCCACAATATAGAGAGCTGATTAAACTGGTCAGTAATAACCAGAAGGAACCACATTCACATCCTCAACCAATTCAATTCTTGCACCTTTTGAGGAGAAAGCCTAAAACATGATTGAATGAGATTAATAACTAAAGAATCCAGTTACACCTCAGAAATTTAGACTTTCTCCAAAAGTTGCTCTCTGTCTTAGACATCAGCCTTGTAAGGAAAGTACCCACTAAATGGAAGAGCATATAATGTACACATATTGGGTATGAAAGACAGCTATAAGACTTTCATTAAAAATAAAAATAAAAAAGGACAGCACAAGACTTCTACCTTCCTACTCCTATTAAGAAGAAAAATAATGTACTGGCAATGCTGCAGGATCAAGTTCCCAGAAGCCTCTCAGGCTACCATCTCTCTCATCAGTTAGCTGGAAGAACGGAATCTGATGAGAGAATATAAGCAGATCCACCCGAGGGATTTCCACTGTAACATTAGATAGTCCTTTTACATTGGCCTTGAAAACAGAATTGAAGCCATCCACACGCTCTAAAACTAACACCTTTATGTACCTATCATTTTCCTCCATAACCTGCACTACGTCGTATTCACAGTTCTCCAAGTCAGAACATTTAATTTTAGGAGTCCAGTTCCTATACAAAGCCCAGATCTCACCTTTTCTAGGCAAGATGGCATATTCATCCTTCCTACCAGTAAACTCAGCATTTAACTTGTGAGAAAAGGTAACAGTGGAGGTGTAGTAGTTCTGGGAACCACCCTTTTTAATCCTAAATCTCCCACAGGAAGTGGGCATCGCTGGATCATACCACTTGGTTGTCCTTTGTGATGAACAAGGTTCAAGCCATCTCACATGTATTTTGAAAACTGGGTTGGACTCAATCTTTTTAATCTCACCATAGTACTTTGGCAAGCCATCCTCATCACTATACAATGCCCAGATCTGACCAACAAGAAACTTTTCCTGGGATTTGTCAGCATCAAAGTTGTAGAATTCTGATTCCGGAATTTCAAAGGCTTCAAGGTTTGAAGCTGGAGAAGCACTTTTTTCAGATTCCATCATTGGCTTCACTTTTTTGGCAGAACTCGAACATGAAGTATTAGAATGTCTGCTATCACCGTCCACCTTCAAGTCCTCGGGAGCAACAATTTCTTCAGGATGAGCAGGCAAAGAAGCTGGATCGAGTTCAAAGGAACCTTTTGGCAACCCTTTTCTCTCTTTACCAGTCAGTACAAAGGACGGAACCTTGTGGGAAAACCTGAATAGTTCATTGGGTGGAATTAGAAATGTATCAACTCCTTCCTTACTCGTTTGACAGAAGACACTCACAAAGCCTTTTACCTTAGTCAAGTAAGCAACATGTACGCCTACACCTTCTGCATACCCTGATAAGATTTCAACAAATTCATATTCGTATTTCTGGTCAGTGCCAGCATCCAATTTCCATTTAATATTCCAGTTCTTAAAAAGCGCCCAAGTTTCTCCTTTTCTTGGAAATATCTTGTAGGTATCTCTAAAAGTTCCTTTCTCCCAATATAGCAAATGGGAGAACATAAGACAATCTTCAGTGATTTCAGAGACCCCATGTTTGAACTTACCACAAGATACAGGTAAACCTTCATTGACCCATTGTACTTCATTCTCATCATCTGGATCCGGTTCTAGCCAGGTTATCCTCAGCTTGAATCCAGAAGAGAATACTTTTCTGATCCGAGCATAGAATCTAGGCATGGCATCCAGTGTATCATACAGAGCCCAAATCTGGCCAACCGAAAAACAACCTTCTTTCTTCTCCTTGTCAAAGTCATAAAACTCTGGCTCAGGGTATTTAAAAACCACGGGCTCTTCAGTTTCATTGATGCTTGAATGTGACTCAGAACCATTGTCATCAGGGTTTGAATTTATCTTAACACCATCAGCATAAGCTTCCATGGTTTTCTCAAGATCCTCCTCTTTGGCAGCTTCCTTTTCAGATCCTTTTCCAATTCCCTTCTTCCCATTGGGTAAGCTCGCCCCTAACCTAGTACCTTCTCTTTGTTCCATTGTTTTCTGATCTTCTTTCACTTCACCAGCTACACCAGATTGATTATTGAGTTTAGACTTGTCATCTTTCAGCATTGCTTCACCCTCTTCATTTGCACAGGTTGATCCACTTCCCTTAGGCTTTTTTGGAGGGCTAGCCACGTCCTCCTCATCACTTAAATTTTCCTTATATGAAACATGTTGCTTACGCCTACCAGATCTCCGCAGATTCTGCTCTACCTGACAATCAAAATTCTTTCCAGCCAGAACATCACCATTGTCATCAATCACCACATCCTCTTCAGACTCACTGCTGCTTTCGCTGTCACAGCTTTCACTGGATTCAATAGTTTGCTTCCTTCCTCTTTTACCATTCACTTTATCCGTCCCAACCTCTGAAGTGCAAACTACATTTGGAGAAAAGGCTGCTTTAGCATTCTCAGCAGCAACATTTCCTGGAGATCCCTGACCAACTTTGAAAGCACCCTGATTCTGCACAACTCTAGGTTGGGGAAATTTTGGCTGACTCATGTTACTTGCCTGTGGAATTGCACCTGAATCATAGGCAATGAAGGTCTTGTTGCAAGTTTGACAACGAAGAGATCTGTGAATTACTTCTGTATAATACTGGTATCTAACCGTACAATAAGGACACTTGGTCCAGAAAGTTGGCCGGCCATTGGAGAACCCAGTTTGAGTTGGTTGTTGATGCTGCTGTGACTGCTGTTGAGAATTCAAGACAGGAAAGTTGGCACGGAAATTGTTTGGAACAGCAGCATGAGGGTACCAACTTGGCTTCTGTGGGGGCCGACATGCTGCTGCTGGAGCTGGTCTATTAATAGTCACTTTTCGTTTCATGTCATGTGCAGACCTTTTACCTTGATCTAAAAGAATTCTTTGTGCATCCCCAATCAACTTAAAAGCAGCTTCTGCACCCGGAAACTTATTCTTATCAGGGTGAAGTTGGAGGGCAAATTTTCTGTACTGTTTCTTAATTGTAGCTTCATCAGCTGTTAGCTCAACCTTAAGTATGGCATACCAATCCATCTCATTACCAAACAATCTTTTCTCAGCAGCACAATGCACTTCACACACCATTATCATCTGAGATAAATTCTCCAAATCCTGAAAAAGTTGTTGGGCCTTGGCTGCAATTCTAAGAGCCCCAGAAAAATCCTTATTTTGCATTTTCTTCACCGCGATGTCTTTGGCCCTGATGGCCTCTTCCTTGTTGCAGTCCATCACCAACAAAATCCAGACTGGAGGTGGTTTAATCAGTTTCAGACAAAATGATCTGATAATTGCTTTAATAGACTAGTCTAATTAAATACAAAGAGACATCTTGTACTCTTCCTCCAGGATCTCTTAACCAACAGACAAGAAACTCATCTCCCACCTCTGGATGATTCCTGCAGAAGTTTTATGTAGTTAGACCAATAAAGAACCTAAATTTGACTTAGCAAAAGAAAGAAATAAACTTAAAGCAATCAAAACCTGATATTTCATAACCAATATCACTTTCAAAATACATGGGCATGCATGCATAAAGACACTAATACTAGGCTCCACACAAAGAAGGATTAACTTCGAAGATGTAAGGGAAAAGAGAAAAGGTCTTGCAGCATTCTTTCACATGAAGTGAGCAAAACCCTCATATGGAACAAAACAAGTTAGAATTCAACATTTGACCACAACAAGGAAACACGAAACCCTAAAATGAGACCACACTAACACCAAAGAATAATTCACTGCACAACAGAAAATTCCAAGTCCATGCATAATTCTGGGGCAAGTTGGAGGAGGGAGAGGCTGGCAGTGGCCCTGGCCCACCCCGGGCTCTTGAAACTTTAGCAAACACATTAACTTTCTCAAGCACAAGTGGAAATTATGATTTTGGCACCCCCCAAAATTTTATAACATGGCCCTTCCTTTGTCAAACTTTGTGATTAATATGGTAAGTTTAATAATTATTTGCTACATTTTTAGGTTATCTTAATTACTAATTTCATTTTCTTCGACTCTTTTTTATATATAACTATTATTATACTTGATTATTAACTCCTTAAATCATGAAAATCTCCTTCTCAATCAATCACATACGAATGTCGACCCTAATTACCACATTAAGACTACTGAAAAAAATATATTAGTTAAAGAAAATTTAGTTGCTATGACTTGAATACAATCAATTATGCATGCAACTTTCATTTTACTTTTCTTCTTTTATTTTCTTTCATCCTTTAAATTAGTTTCTTTAAAAAAACTTATTTGCAAATTCTATTCTACTTTTAAGGAAAATTATTCTTTAAACTTTAAATTGTATTCAATTCTTCGACATGCAATATGAATTACAATGTTTCCAATTTATATATATTTTACTAATAAAAGGATTAATTGCTTTTTATGGAATTAATTATTATTTAAATTTTAAATACCTTTTTTACTATGTTTTTTATCAAAGAGATTGTCTTTCTTATTTTCTGCTCTTATTTGAATTATAATTAATATATTATTCTTTTCCTGGCCCCTCAAAACTAAAATCCTGGCTTTGCCCCTAATGCATATCAAATATGAGTAACAAGGTTCCAACTTTCCACATATCTTTCACATAATCATTACATTTTCCATTAACATTGCTATAAGAATATTAACCCATACACTAAATGAACAGAGAAACCAAACAAATTCTCTCTTTCCAGCATTATAAAGAACACAAATAATGCTCAAAACTTCAGACCCAAAGCCCCGATGGTAAACAATTTCAAACCCGCAAACTAAACAGAACTGAAAACCCAGAACCCAAATTGAATCCATTAACAAACATAGATGAAGAAACATGCATATAAGCAATTCCCTGAAGCAAACCCAGAATAATGCTAGTGGGATTAAGTCAAAAATTTCAAACAAACAAACCCAAAAGAACCCTAAAATCGGAAGATCGATAAAGGGAAGAAGCAGAGATATAAAACTTGCCTGGCTTTTGAATTCGAAAAGGGAAGGGCAACAAGTCCCAAATAGGCGGGGTTTAGGGGATTAGAGAAAGGGACAGAATCCAGAGGCGAGAAGGAGAGTACCAAATTGGAGAGGAACAGGGAAGTAGAAGACTACAACTTAATTTCTCTATTGCCACTTTTTTTGTGTTCCATGTTGGATATGATTGTGATTTTGGTCAAAGTAAGGGTCAATTTGGGAGGATTTTTTTATCAAAATGCCCTTGTATTTTCATCAATTTACAATTATAAGTGTCCATAAATCGAATCGAATTAGATTTAATCAATTTTTTAAAAAATCGAATTTATATTTGTCTGTTTAAGTTAAATATATCAGTTTTACTTTTATAAATACTTTTATAAATTAAAATATAATATTTGTTAATATAATAATATTTGTAAACGAATTTGGTCAAATCAAATTTAAAAATTACTTATAAAATAATAATATTTTAATTTTAAAATAAATCAAATCTAAACTTAATAATATTTTTCATATTCAAATTCGAGAATATGGATTGATTGTCTAATGTATATATACCTCTTTTAACTCTAAGTACGTGAGAAAACAATTATAAAATTTAATTTTTCAAAGAATTTGAACTAATCCTTATTTTTTTTTATTTCTAGTTCTGAATAATTTGAAGAAATGTACTAGCCATTACTATTATTGTTATATACATAATAAAAGCTTGGAGATTTAGTGGGAAAGTAGCCAGCCTTGAGGACTTGAATGGGTCACGGACTAGTCAAACTCTTCCCAGTACCTAGTTGTGCAAGTAAAGGAATCAATTTCCGTTTGATATGTGTACCTTTTTGAGTTTGACATATACCATAAGAGGTGACAAAATGCTCTGTCATTGCCCAAGTGGTGATCTTTAGGCATGCTTATTCTATGGAGTCAATTCAAGGCTCACTATCCTCCATTGATTGACTTGGAGTCAAATGAACGTCAAACCAAGCAGCGAATTCATTTCCTTTTCCTCATGTTTCCAGGGGAAGAAAGTTTGCGCTAAGTCCAAACACTGTAGTTTCCAGCTGATAGGATCAACATTGTAATTGTAATGGAAACATGACTTTGGGAAGACAGGAGCACTGGGTTTTTGCCTCTGAGCGCTTTTTAATCTGAAAGTAGCCCTCTTTGACATTATGTTATAACCTCAGTGAGTAAACACCACAATGAAATCTGTTTCTCAGTAAAATGTTGAACCTGCATATATCTTTTCCAAGTCTTCCTCTGCATATATCTTTGCTACATATTCTGTATTTGGACATAACAACCTTAAGACTGGCTGCTGTGAGAAGATAGCTTAATACATATGAATGCAAGTGTCCTCTGATCCCGAGTCAAAAAAAATGCAGTTAAATTCATTTGGATGCAGCACCTTTGCATTCTTCCATATGTTTCTGACAAAAAAATTGTGGATTGCTTCAAACTTCAAAATTAGTAAAGTATGGATTTCTCATTTCCAATTCAAGAGAGTTTAATATCTTACATAACTCTTCCATATATGTATCTGAATTGTTTCCTGCAACAAAAACTGTCACCCTATTTTTCACTTCAATCCAACTATAACCAGGCATTTTCTTTACCCCTTTATCCACCATTGCTTTCCTGACAATCTCCGCTTCCTTCCACTGCCCACTAGCACAATACAAGTTTGATAATAACACATAAACCATATCTTTCTGAGCTTCCAAAATTTGTAAACGATCCGCAATACTAATCCCCATTCCGACATCCCCATGCACGGAACATGCTCCTAGCAAGGCTTCATATGAGGTGCTCTTAGCCGCAACAGTCTCTTTTTCTGAGTATTTACTAGCCAACTCATTTGCCTCTGCCAAATACCCACCCCGGCCGAGCATACTTACCATGCATGCCACATGATCCATTTCATAGGTTAGCCCATATGCAGAGCCCATCAAATCAAAAAATATACGACCTTTATCAATAAGCCCTGCATGGCTACAAGTCATCAACAAGCCAATGAAGGTTACTTTATCAGGCTTTGCCCCATGTGCCACCATATCATCATAGAGCTGTAAAGCTTTGCTAGACAACCCATGCATTCCAAATCCAAACAACATTGCGTTCCAAGAGACCAAATCCTTCTCAAGAATATCATTAAATGCACAGCTTGACCCTTTGATATCCCCACATTTAGCATACATGTTAACCAGGCCATTGCCAACATAGACATAGGCTTGAAAACCATATCGAATCACACAACCATGGACCATTTTGCCATACCCAAGTACTGCCAAACTTGAGCATGCATGAAGTACAGCTCCAAATGCAAAATCATCTGGGAGTACACAACTTCTCACCATCTGAACAAAGAAGCTAAGAGCCTGTTCTCCTTCCCCATTTCTTGCATACCCTGCAATCATACATGTCCACGAAATCACATTCTTCTCAGGTAGGTGCCGAAACACATTAAGGGCTTCACAGGTGTTCCCCATTTTTATATAACCATCAATCATAGCATTCCAAGACACTTGATTGAGCAACCCTACAGACTCAAACTCCCTCATAGCAACATCCACACAACCTAGTTGAGCATAAAAGCTTAGAATTGAATTCTTAGCTTCCAAAGCTGAGCTCCAACCACTTTTAATAATAAAACCATGCACAGCGCACCCACATGTGTATTCCAATGATTCGGTACACACATTCATTAGAGAACTAAAAGTCCACTGATCCGGACAACAACACAAACTCTCTTTCATACCTTTAAACAAATTAATACACACTTCAACCTCTCCAAATCTAGCAAAACCTGAAATCATAATATTCCACGCAACTAAGACCCTGCTTGGCATTCCATAAAAGGTTTCAAATGCTATATTAAACAGACCAGAATTCAGATAAGCAAATAAAAGAGAGCACCAAGTTACTTCATTTCTTTGACTTTGACCCATCTCTTCAAATACTTTTCTTGCACTAGAAGGAACTAAGCATTTCCCATACATATCAACGAGAGAATTATTAACAGGTAAAAAGGATTGGTACCCAAAAGCAATGATTAACGCGTGGGTTTTCATCCCGGTCTGAAGTGAACCGAGGCCGGAACAAGCGTTTAAAGTTGATGTGAAGGTGAAGTGGTCGGGCTTCGCGTTGCTGATTCTCATGAGATGGAAGAGAGAGAGAGCATCTTTGTGAAGACCCAGTTGGGAGTAGCTTGAAAGCATTGCGTTCCAAGTGATTGAATCCTTTTGAGGCATTTCGTCGAACAGTTTGCGAGCGCTTGTAATAAGGCCGGACCTTGACAAAGACACGATCCTGGTCGTGAGTTGATGCAAAGTTGAAGGCATGTGTCATGTTTCGAAACTGAATTCGGAAAAGTACGGTTCAAGCAAGCAACGTTTCAAAGCACAAAAACGATTTCAAATCTCCAAATGGCGGTTTTTCCGGGGTTTTCCAATTTCGTCCTTGGGTCTGGTTTGTCTTGTCTGTTCATCTTGTCCATCAAAAGAGGAAATAAGATTTCGTATTGGGCCTGGGTTGTCTTTTCCTTCACAAACGTGGTGCTATTCTATACTGTTTTTCCTTTATGTTTTCTTGAAAGTTGAGACTTACACAGTATTCAGACCTGATCTATCAATTATTATTCTTTTAATATATAAGTTTAAAGTAAATAGTTCGATTCTTTCTCTCCTTCTTCTAATAAAAAGTTAAAATTTTATTTTATTGACTATCAAGAAATTTTACATAAATAAAATATAATATAAATTTAACTATAAAATCCTTTTATGTCTACTTAATTTTTCATTGACGTAAAATTCTTTCATAAAAAATTAAAATCAAAATAAACTCGAATCATGATAAATCTTGTTTTTATAATTGAAAAAGTCCATATAACGAGAATATTACACAACCCTCTCATTCTCGTAGACATATTTTTTGAATTAAAATTATGGATCCGTTCTCATTTAAAGTTGATAATCTTGTAGACAAATCTCAAGTTTGCAATTATCTCAGCTATAACATTCAAAGGGCAAACAAGCTGCATACCTCCTTCAAAACATTCATTAGGAGGTCCCATGAAGTAAATGAAAGCAACTTCCCATGAAAGAAAGTTGGGTTATTGTGTATTACAAATGGAATGTACTGCCATCACACTGCCTCCTCAAAAAATGAATGTTAAAAAAATTGGGTGCACACGGAAAGGTTAGCTAAATCTTTGACACAGTTTTCCGAAACAGCTCCTTCGGCGCTGCAGGCAGGACCAAGAAAGAACAGGGGAAGATTGAAGAAATCAACGAAAATTAATTAAGTAGAAGTGTTCGAAAAAGATCATGAAATAACATGCAATAGATAGTTTTCTTCTTACCTGGCAACCCAGTGAACCGCTCAAACTGTTCATATGCCTGCCCAATGAACATCTCCACCCCAGAGACAATCGTGGCTCCAGATTCCTCAGCTTCTCTCAAGAGTCTGGTTATTTTAGGCGTGTAGATGGCATCGAAAACCAGTGAATAATATTTCAAAGCATCCTGCAAAAACAGAAATGGCTTAATTTTCTCCCATTTGAATGTGTTTTACAGGCACATATGTGGAAGTTTGCAAACCATATCACTCAAGGCTTCCTTAGAGAGTAAGAATATTGCAAATTCCCTTTCTCTATTTGTGAAAAAAAAAAAAAAGCATTGAAGTGGCTTCAAAAAATTTTCAAACGAGGATGCGATATTTATAAGAAAAGATTGCAAGGCAGGGTGGCAAACCTTGGAAATCGGTGTTTCATCAATATTTGGTTGCATGCCAATAGAAGTTGTATTGGCAAGAATCATGCCCTCCTCCGGGTGGAAACGAGCTAAATCAGCAAGAGACAGAGCATCTCCTCCAATGATGTCTGCAAGCTCTCTGGCTCGTTCTACAGGTGAAATAGATATAATAAACAATAAATAATAAATCTCAAATCATTACCAAACTAAACCAGGAAAAATTCTTCCCTAGTATGCTATACAAAGAAGAAAGAACCAAATACCATAGGTGCGATTGGCAATGACAACTCTCGCTCCTTTTTGTTTTGCACCATAAGCAAGTGCCTTTCCAGCACCACCAGCACCAACAACTACAAACCGCTTACCAGCTAAGGGCGAACCAGTAGTGTTGCTTGTGTTTAATCTAGCTGTCAAGAAACAATAGGAATAAAGAACGTCCAACAAAAAATCAGTTGAAAACTACATAGCTTAAGAAGGGCAATAAACCTCGTAGTCCATCCTCAATGGCAGAAATAGCACCAACATAGTCTGTATTGTAACCAAATAACTTCCCATCACTTCGTCGCCTTATAATGCAATTAACAGCTCCTATGGACTGTGATATTTAATCAAAGAATTACAAACTACATTGATGAAGATGGCAACATTACGATTACTAGACGAATAAACCATCAATTACCTTCGCAATTGGGTCTACCTCATCACAGCACTTCACTGCAGCCTCCTTGTGAGGAATTGTACAGCTGCATGTTAAATAATGTTATGCAACCACATTACCTAAGTACATACGTCCAGTACGCCACTAGAGCAGATTCGTCTTGCAACATATGCTACATGAAACCAATGTACAAAGTATAGTAATAGGCTAAACTAGTAACATGCAACCATATACTAAACTACTCTAAAAATAGAGTTTGTAAAAACCAGCACAAGAGCAATTACGCAAATATATTGAAATTTATGCTTCAGAAATGCAATGTCCAAAAGGGGAATGAACCTGAATCCAGCAAAATCAGTGGACGAGTAACTCTGGAGAAATTTTGATAAGTCATCCACTAACAAGTGGACATAGACACCATTGAAACCAGCTGATTTGAATGCTTCATTGTACAGCATTGGTGACTTGCTGTGACTAACAGGCTTCCCTATAACTCCATACACTTTAGTATCAGGACCTAACTGCCTGAAATTGTATAGATTCAACAGATCATTAATAGTTGGTTGACCAGGAGCTGAAACAACTCCTGCCTCAAGTGTCCCAAAAGTAAGATAGCCACCAAATTTTGCACAAAGAATTCGTGAAATCAAGCCCCTCTCGCCCATAACAAGTCCAATTATGGGAACCTGAACATTTCAGCAACAATGAATCGATTTAAGTTTAATCATATGAAAAATCTTGAAAAAAAAAAACATAAAGTAGTCCATATTGACAACTATCAGTAATATATAGGAAGTTGTGCAAAAGAGAGACAAAAGAAAATAATAAGCACTATACTTCACTGCAGTAAACAAATTCAAGTATAAATTTCAGTTCTTTTCTTTTTCTTTTGGTAAATTTCACTGATGTCTAGTTCAGAAATAACTATGATGTAAAAGACCCTTTTGGCCACTATCATCAGTGCACAGAATAATGAGTACTTTGCCATAAACACTATGGTGGCTGCTGCACAGTTCCCATCAATTAAGATGCATTTTTTTCAGTATTCAAAAATCAGACATTGCATTAACAAAATATGAATCTACTCAAGAATGCACATCCTAATGCTCTCCTACACTCTATCTAGGAGGTGCTCAACAAAATTTCCTCATCCAACTCAGTCAAGTTAATCATTTTAACAAAAAGATTACCTATGAAATATTTCAAAACAGGAACATTTGTCATTTAAAACCCATTACTTGCTTAACCAATTCTTAATAACCCAGCATATCACAGTTAAACAAGTCAGTTTAAACAAAATCACAAAGTAGAGGTTATAAGATTTTATTTTAGATTTATATTCAAGGCATGCTGCTTCTTACCTGAGAATGCACTGTTATCTGAAAAATGCGTGCCACATCAGTGATCTCCAAGGCTGTTGTTGCTATCTTCACTATATCAGCTCTAGTTGATTGTATTCTTGCAACAAGGTTGCCAAGCTCCTCAACAGATGGAGTGCTTTGATAGTTGTGAGAAGACACTATAACTTTCAATTTTTCAGGCTTCTTTCCATCAATGGATTTCACGAAGTCATGGGCAACCTTCACACAGAAGCAAAAAATATTTGCGTCACTATAAGTTCAGTAGATTTTACCTAAATGGTTACCTATAAACGAAGTCATGTTTCAACCAATAGCAAGAAAGAAGCACTATATAATTCAAACTTTACGAAGCTACAATTAATTGAGAAAGAAAACCTTAAGCTCAACATCAATGTAATCAGCCCCCAGCTCCATTGCTAATCTAAGCACATCTAATCGCTCTTTCTCATCACCATCATATTGACCACCTTCCCATACTGGTCTGTAAGACAAAATTAGAAAAAAAAAAAAAACTTATACTTACTGATATTTATAAATTAAGCAACCGAATACCATAAAAAAGGAGTAAAGGAACAAGCTTGCAACATTAGGCAGACTGTCTGAAAGTTCCCAACATCAATAAACTGGAAGCCACGAAAAAGCAAAAAGACCCATCGAAAAGGGAAAAAAAAATGAAAAATGCATAACCCTAAACTTTACAGGTGAAAACTACAATTTGTGACAGATCTCAACCCGGGTAAAGAGGAAATCCCACAAAAGAAAGAAAAAGGAAGACACCCATAAACTGGACTGAGCACACAAACTATAAAAAGTTGCTCTTGAAACCAAAGCATTCAAGTTGGAAAGAAAAATCAAATCTTGAAACCTGTAGGTGAAAAGTGTAGGCAAAGGGCACTCTTTGATTAAAACTTTGAGGTCCTCATGAGGATTGAAACTCTTCAAAGTATCCAATCTAATTTCCACAAGATCAGCAGAACTAGCTTTAGCTTTGGCCATGTCAACGACCATCTCAGCGACAGAATCAGCCATAATCGGAACACATATCAGTGTGGGATTCTTCCACACTCCTCCTCTACTTTCCATATTCAAACCAGCAGCAGATGAAACAAGCTATCAAATTGAAACAGAAAAACAATCAACAATCTCGCCCTGTTCACAATTTAGCAAAAATGAATTCTAAATGAGAAAAGAAGGGAAGCTTGCCAGAGGGTTGAGAGTGTCCATTTGTGCGAAGTGGTGTTTTTGACTGTGAAGACTCGTTGGAAGAGAATGGTGTTCGTCGGGTCGGTGGTTAAATATATAGTTCGGGTCCAAATTGGTTGGTGGCAAGGATGATTTGGTTTTGGTTGGTGGGGTAATCAACGGCTCTGAGATAGTTTCTAGGACGCGAGGGTGAAATCTACGTAAAGGACATTTCGGTTTTACAGCATTTTTTCCTCTTCTTTTTTCCTTTTAACGTTTTCTTTTTCGGAATATTATTTGACTGGGAAGGGAATATTTTTGTTGGTGGGCGGGAAAATGGGAGAATCACAATCCTATAAATGCAAAAACTCTACACCAAATAATTATATATAAATATTTAAATATTTAACTCATTGATTGATTAATTATCTTCTACTCTAATCTCTCTTCTCCAATTATATAAAAAAATATAATAATAATAATAATTGCATATGGAAATCCCAACTAACTTAGCTTTAAAACTATGTCCTGTATTAATAATTAATGGCATGTGAAGTTGAGGTTAAAGAATGAGAGACGAAAAGGGGATATGAGGGAAGATCAGCTAATAGCTACTTCATTATACCGCTCGGCAGTTCCTTTCTAAATTCTTTCAACCCTTGGACTTGAAGAGAGCAAAGTAAAAGTAACCAATTTTTGCTAATGCTCAGGCTTACAGCTAAAGAGCGGAGGTATTTACAACTGAGATAAGATTAGATAAATATCTACAAATTTGAAACAATGATTCAGTGTGCCACTGCGAAGGGGATCAAAAGAATGACACCTCTGTCCATTACACAACTCTAGCTTCATCCCGAGTTAATCTATGCATTAGTTTCATCCGCACCCGATGAAGGGGCTTTTGTTTCTATGGGGTCTATTTCCATGTTGGAGACATCAGTTTCATCCCCACCTGGTGAAGAAGCTTTTGTTTCTGTGGGATCTATTTCCATATTGGAGACATTGGTACTTTCAACTTCAGGCGGCTGAGAAGCTTCACTATGATCTTCTGATTGAAGCTCGGTTCTAACTTGATCGCTATGTGTAAGCTCTGGATTGGCAGATGCATCAGAGATGACTTGCGATGAGGATGGTCCTTCTGTGTGATCTGATTCCACATTGCAGGGCTCAACTAGATCAACCTCAGACCTCTGAACAAGCTCTCTATCATCAGAATCGCCAGATTGCAGTGAAGATTCCTGTGCTTCAGAAGAGTTTAGTCCGATAGTAGAAGCCTCAACATTGTCCGCCTCCATCTTCTCAATTCCCGGGAGCTCTTGCAATTGATCATTTAGAACATGCTCTCCATTTGGGGATTCCTTGGTGGTAAATTCTGATGAAGTTGCATGAGCTTGTGAGGGGTCACCTTCTGTGTTTCCAACCTGAATATTATCACCTTCGGTACTTGCAACTACTACTTCAAGATGCATTTTGTTGTGATCTCCAGGAACAAGCTCCATGCCGGATGGTACACCCACAACATCTTTCTCGATGGATGCTTCTATTTCCAAAGGGTCAGGGTCAGCATCGCTGTCAACATGATCACTCCCTATACTCTCAATTCCCAAAGAGGGCTTCACTTCACCATGATCCCCAGGAACAAGATCTACATTAGCAGATTCAGCAGCAAAATCCTTCATAGAGGAAATTAGCTGTCCAGAGGGGTCTACTTCCTCATTGCTAACATCAACAGAATTACCATCACCCCTTTCAACAGCTGATGGCACTTGCAACTCATCATCTTTTGGCATAGTTTCTATATTAGTAGATTCAGAAGCAACCAGGTGTATGGGGTCTGATACTGAGTCCCTCTTATTTTCACTCCCACTAGTTGGACCATCCACATTATCAGAAGCCTGATGTGAAACATGTTTGTCACCTACTGTTGTATCAGCCACCACAGGAGTAGCTCCAGGATCATTAGATTTTTGTGAAACTTCAGGACCTCCAATAAAGGCTTCACCACAGCATTCAGCAGCTGCAGCTTCCAGACAATGATCACTAAGAGCATGTGATTTGGTGGAAACACTTAGGGCCATAAGGCTTCCTCTCTCGGTGGCAGAGCATTGTAAAGACTCTTCCAAAGAAGGTTCTGTTGTCTTTCCCAATTCACTCTCAGTAATGTCAGGAAGTTCCACCATTGCTGAATGAATAGGACTTGGAGAAATACTTGAAGTCACAAGAGGAACATCATTAACATCAGGTTTTTTGGACATTGCAGCACTTCCAAGGTTCTCAACATCGAGGGCAGAAGCTTTTTGACAAGATTCCAAAGAAGGCTCTGCCTCACGTTCAGAATTAGTCTCAACCACAGAAGGTGCCTCCACCATGCCTGACTTATTAGGACAAGGCTCTGCTTCACATTCAGAATTATTCTCAACCATAACAGGTGCCTCCACCATGCCTGACTTATCCGGACAGGGCTCTGCTTCACATTCAGAATTGTTTGCAACCATAGCAGGTGCCTCCACTATGCCTGACTTATCTGGACAAGGCTCTGCTTCACATTCAGAATTGTTTGCAACCATAGCAGGTGCCTCCACCATGCCTGACTTATCTGGACAAGGCTCTGCTTCACATTCAGAATTGTTCTCAACCATAGCAGGTGCCTCCATCATGCCTGACTTATCTGGACAAGGCTCTGCTTCACATTCAGGATTGTCCTCAACCACAGCAGGTGCCTCCATCACACCTGACTTATCTGGAAAAGACTCTGCCTCACATTCAGAATTGTTCTCAACCATAGCAGGTGCCTCCACCATGCCTGACTTATCTGGACAAGGCTCTGCTTCACATTCAGAATTGTTCTCAAGCATAGCGGGTATGTCTACTGTGCCTGACTTATCTGGACACATGGTAATAAGTAAAGACTCTCTGGGATTATCAGCAACATCATGAAATTTGATGGCATTTGGAGTGCCTGCAGCACTTTCAACATTGATAGCAGAAGATCCTAAAGACTCTCTAGCAGAAGGTTCTGCACCGTTTTCAGATGGAATCGCCAGATCAGGAAGGCTTCCAGCAACTGAATGATCTGAACTCAAAGGAACTATTGCAGTCACTCCAGAATAATCACAAGCAACACCAGCCTTTGGAGAAATAGTATCAAGAGAAAATGAGTTTGAAAATTCCATGGAAGATTTTTCTTTGTCTTCAGAGCAGGCCACATTAGGCGCAATCAAAACAGAAACAGATGAGATAGCTTCAGAATGATTACGAACATCACTTGCATTTGTAGGGTCTATGAGAGATTCAAGTTTACTAACATCACAAGGAGACATTGAAGAGATCTCAGTTTTATTTCCGCAACTATTCAACTGAGGAGGTTCTACCTTACCAGGAGATGCCACAGATAACTCTATTTGGTTGCTAGAGGGCCCGTCAGTCACATCAGTGCTATCTCCATTAGGACTCATTGATCCCTGGGAAGCAAAATCTTCCTTCTCACAAGCACTGAGATGAACTTTACAATCAACCTCCATGCTGCTCTCAGTGTTTGAGTTTTCGCATGAAAGCTTTCTGGAATCCGAAATGTTCTCAGCGCCAATAGCAGCCTGGCACCGAGAAACTAAAGAAACACTTTCTGATATAGGGGTCATAACCACAACAGGAGCTTTCTCCTCTGATTTGTTTGCATCAGCATCTGTCCTGTGTTCCTCAATATTCTTGTCCTGTAAAATATCAGACACAGGAACTGGTAGTTCCAGAGGTGACATAGCTGGCTCTGATGATTGTGTTTCTGAGGGTTTAACTTCTGCATCACAAACTTCAACATAATCACCCTCAGTACTTTTAACTTCTGCACACAGTTGCTTACCACCATTAACTTCTGAAGCAGGATCCCTACTGGCTGATTCAACAGCAAAATCTTTCAGAGAGGGCACATCTGTTTCAGAGGGATCTACTTCCATATTGTGAATCTCAACACCATCACCCTCCCCATCTTTAACAACAAGTGGTTGTTGCAAGGCCCCGCCATCTTGTGGAACAAGCTCTGTATCAGTAGAATCAGTGGCAGTAGAGAGAAAAGGTTCTGGTACAGGGTCGCCCTTAGCTTCACCGCCACCAAATTGACCATCCACATCGGAATTGTCAACAGGAGCCTCATCCAAAATAGCAGTCTCACAGGTTGGAGCAGTACCTTCCACCACATCAGTAGCTCCAAGGTTGTCTGAGTTTTCTGAAACTTCTGGACGTTCAACAACAATGGCTTCTGTAGAGCACTTTATGACTACAGAAGGCAAGTCTGCCTTGTCAAAGGATATGCCACTCAAATTAACAGCAGATTGATCTGAATCCAATGTTTCTGCAGGAATACCATTAAGACCAACACTTCTACCATTATCATCAGAAGCTTTAGGAGATTCTTTCAAAGAAGGCTCTACTTCATTCCCAGGATAAATCTCAGTCATACCAGGACTTTCTTTTTTGGTTTCAGAGTCAATAATAGAAGGCTCCGCCACACCTGAAACAGATGGAACCGCTCTGGAATTATCATATGTATTATCAGCTTTAGGAGATTCTTTAAAAGCAGGCTCTATGTTGGTTTTATCACTCTCAGCAGTTTGAGGCAGGTCCATTGGACCCGGAGGGTCAGGTTGAGCTCTAGAACCTGTGTGATCACCACCAGGACCAGGAGGTCCTTGAGAGACATCTTTCTTCTCACCAGCATTGAGAGGACATGTACTATCAACCTCCATATTACTCTCTGTAACTGAATTTTCACTTGCAGTTTGTCCCGAATCTGCAATGTTGTCAAAGCCGGTATGGGTCTTGCATTCAGGTTTCAAAGAATCAGCTCTCTGAGCAAAGTCCTTCACCACAAGAGATGCGTTGTCCTCCAGTTCTTTTGCATCAGCTTTGGTCTCAGCCTGCTTTGTATTTTTTTCAGTCGGAACATCGCAAGCTGCAGCAGCTTTGTCATGAGCTGGTGAGTTGACACATGTTTTACCATCTAAACTTTGGTTCTTGGTTACCTCCTCAAGTGTCTTGCTTGATAATGGTGCAGTAGGAGTATTCCTGCCCTCACTCCCAGCAGGTTCACCAACTTTAGTTTTTGATGAACAGGTTTCAGAAAAAATCTCCTTCATCACTCGGGCAACGTCATTTACATCAGCAGTCTGAATTCGAGTAAATG